GCCCTGTTTCATAAAAGAAAGATGTCATCAATTATCTGATGTTGTTCAGCACCTCCGAGTTGCGCTGAGATCGGCGAAGAAAAGGGCCTTACAAGCCGGGTCACGTGCGCAGTACTAGGATCCAATAGTTTTGCATGGAGTTGTTGCAGGACGTCACCCAGTTGGGGAAAAGGTTGCCAGTATGCGCGCTCTATTCACCTCACGAATCTCCACGGTCTGTCATCTTGGGCACAAAACAAGCACACAGATAAAAGGGTAGAAAAACAAAAGTCCTCAGCCGTCGTCAAACGAAGAGTAACCTTTGGTTGTCAACAGGTGTGACACTCTACCTTCCCATTCAAATTCAATTCAGTGGGTCATCAATCAGGAACAGAAGAGTCTGAAAGATCGACTGTAATCCTGTACACCTATACCCTTTATTTCCTCGTCATAAATCCCCGTGATAGCCTATCGAGACGCGTTCATACTTCGCGACTGGGAAGATTCCGTGATTCAGGAGCGTAGGCGACCAAACAGATTTTCATGCTCGCGTATTTTTATAGTTCACTCTAAGAAGAAATCACAATCAGAACCACTCCCGATTGCTTTGAAAAAACTACTGCAAATAGGCGATTATCTACACTAGCAAGGAATGAACGCTGCAAAGGTCGCCCTAAACTATGCGCAGTCGCGAAGCGATCACACATACGGTTGATATCGACTCAATCCGGTGGGGCGGTGTCAAGAGGTGTGAACCGAGCTCATCTGTGGCGTTTTATATCATTGGCTGCTTTCTCGAACCGGATGCTATTGCTAGAAAACACAGCTATGAGCTCATTCCACGCCTCCTGACACCAGGTTGCAGGAGCGCAACTAGCAACTACAAGTACGCTATTGCTGCTAGAAAATTCTGCAATACATATACGACGTAAGAAAGTATCAAGTACCTGTTTAGCTTCGTCCACATCACAATTCGCTGTCTTACAAAGCAGATCTCCTGTATAGGGATTCAACACATCAAATGTGTTTTTCTTTTTAGAATGAACCCATTCACCTGAAAAAAAGTGTGTGACCGAACCAGGTGAGAGG